TTACTGTGGGAAACACTAATGACAAATGCCTCTCCTGTCTGGCCAGAGAGGGTACGCCCACTCTTATCCACAATAGTTCCAGAAACCTAAATATCAATTGAACACAGAGAGAGAAGAATTAAAAGCACGACAAAATGGAAAATTAAAATGGATGAACTGCTGTAACTCAAAGTAGAGAGACCTGTGTTCCACTTAAGGTGATGAGGCACAACTCAAACAGAAAAATTAAATCCTTTTCATTGTATAAATGTTAAACTATTTTTCTAGGAGAAAGAAGACTGGTTTTTTGTCTTTCCTTCTCTCCCCACTCCTCAGGGAAAAGAGAAAGAGGGAGAGGAGAAAACTAATCTGAGCCACCCAGCAACCAGGCAGCATGAGTACCATGGCATCATTCTGATGACAGCCTCTGAACCAATCCACAGGGTTTTTTTGTTCAGGCAGCTATCAGCACTCACCTTCTCCTCATCTCCCCATTTAAGTTATTTCAGGTCTCAGGACTCCTATTAAGTTCTTTGGTGGCGGTTGGTGGAAAGGTGGGAGAGGTGGGTCTCCTTTCACCACAAAAGAACATCAAATGTTGCAACTTAGTAGTGGAAGTATAAGTTTTAACCTGTATAATCACACTTCTTTAGCAGTACACAGAAAGAGATGTGCAAATAATAAATAACGTTTTGACCCCGACTAACAACTGTGAAGTTGAGAATTTGGGAGGCATCTGGATAAAGCAGGAAAGGCTCCTCAAATGTGCTGATTCTGGTCAGGATAATGTTAATTCTTGCAGTAGCCAGGAGGGGGCATGGCTAGGACAAAGGAGGTTACACCGTATCATTGCCAGGTGTGGGAGAAGGAAGACTCTCCAGGGAAGGGGTTCCTTCCAGTGGCTCAGAGCAGTGGGGTAACACCAGCTCTGAGCCAGTTCTGAGCCAGAGGTAGCAGTTTGGGAGACGCCGGTTCCAATCCAGGGAAAGAAAGACGGGAAGAAAGTGGGGGAACAAGAAACCAGTGCATGGTTTGGAGAATCTCAGTGAGAGCACTGATTTGCAGATTACCATTCACAACAGCAGGCCTAAAAGCCTTTTTCTAACAGAACATGGAATGGGTTTATAAGACTCCATGCGAAAGTAAATCCACTATTTACTCCAAAGCATGTTTTAATATTGATGCCACTTCCCATGTTCAAAGTACTCAGTCAGGGAAGGGATCAGTAGAATCTTAAGAGAGCTGTGCTAAGGGTCGTAGCTTCTCAACATAACTGAACTGAAAAGGAAACAAAGAATGAAGAACCAGGCTAAAGGACCACTCTGTACAGGGCAATGAAGACAAAAAGTCAACCCAGAAAACTCTCTGTGCTAACTGACCAAGTACAAAGTTGTGAACACAAAAGTTCTACAAAACGACACCTCCAAACCAGTTTTTATTGTTCTAGAAGCTAAACTAAGTAACAAAAGAGACTTTTATTAATGCAATTTCCAAGCTCACTAGCAATGAAGCAAAACATCAGAAACTACAAAAAAGAAATGGAAAAGGCAGAGAACATCACTAGGCTATCACACAATCCCTGATGTCTGCACTTTGAATGCTGTTTTGTATTATCATTCCACTCTGACTTGAGGAAGTGGAAAACAAAAATGGGACAATAATGAATGAACCAAATGGAACAGCTAAATGGAAGAGGACTCATCAGGCTGAAAAAAAGATGACTAAAGGAGGCTGTCACAAAGGACTACAAATGCCATGACTATACAGCAAAGGGAACATAGAACAGCTGCTCATTATCACTTTCAAGAGATAAATGGCAAGACACAATAGAAGTTATCAGGTGGACTGCCCAGAAGTAAGCAAACTTTCAAACCAGCATATTCATAAGCTGACAAAGTTACTGGCAGATTATTCTGTAGATGCCTGGGTCCCACACAGGTTTGAACACAGATGCAAGGAAGGAATAAACACATTCAACAAAAGACTACAAAAAGACACCAACTACAAATCAGAAAGCCTGGACTGAAAACTGTAGAAAACTGGAAGAATACATCAGAACTTCCAAAATAATCTTATTCTTTTTCTGTATTTCTTCCAATGCATTCATGAGCGACAACTATCAGAAAAAGACAGAGAAAGAATATGGAGTAAGACAGATTTTTCTGACTTCAAATGGCCATTCATTCTACTTGAAAATGTCCGAATTTGCTTAATTTCATCCTTGAAGCACTAGTTCCTATTGCCCTCAAGACTGCAAGCCTGAAAAAAACACATCATTAGACCTTTTCTCGTGGAAATACACAGAATAAATACACAATGGAATAAAGTCATTCCTTAGTCTATGGCTTGATCTACTGAACAGAGCTATCCAAGGCTGATTTCAGAAAACTGTAAGAGGTTTTACTTTCACAATCATGTGGAAAAAAGTAAATTTCCAATAAACTCATTTTCTTCATTTCAAAGCACTTTAATCAACTGTCATCTCAGCTAGTTCACAAATGTAGCTTAAGGATATGTAAAATATTGAAATATACTTACAAATATGGGTCGGGAAGCATACTCTTTCTCAAACAACTTCTGGAGTGCAAAAAGAGCAGCCTACAGAAGAATATGTTGCAAAACATAAATGATGTTTTGAGAGTTGTTCAGATTGTTAATTTATTTTTTTTTCTACAGGTTTGATGCCCTCTTTTATTTATTTATTTATTCTATGGCTGTCAGAACTTACTACATTCAGGAAGTTTTACCCTTAACCCCCAACATCTTCCAGATGTTCCAAAACACATTTTGGTAACAAGTAGAAAGAAAGTACCACAGGGAAACCTTGTAAGACCAAGACTACTCTGAAACCTAAATCACATCAGCACATACTTCTCCCTCATATCTCTAGCACAATTCGCAGCCCAAATGTGGTTGTATGTACTCTTCCCAGTACACATTCATTGCCCCTGAGGCTGTTTAGACATGTAGTTTCCAGAGGTTTCCAACCCTTCTACAAAGTTTTACAGTAAGAACTGCAAATGACTCCTGTGAAAGTCCTGAAAATGTCCTCTCTCCTTAGGGTAAGCAAGCTACCTGTGAACATGCCTTTAGCATTACGTTAAGCCCATAGGCTCCTTGCCAAACCTCCATGATGACTGGTCAGGTCTGCAATGGGCAAGTGATGTCACTGCACACTTTATTCAGCCTGTGGCAAAAGCCCAGAGAAACACTGTGTACATATCCAGACAGACTTTTGCACATAAAATCACAGGACAATTGCAAGTACCCTAACAACTGCATCCCCTGTGCTGAGAAGTTATTAGATAAAGAAAGAGGTGTTAAAATCCCATGAATTGTAGCACATTTCAACATTTTATTCCTTCCATTTTACCTTTCTAATCTTCTGTTCTAAATTGTTCTTTCTTAAAACTGATGGCAGAGTTTCCCCCAAAAAACACCTTTTAATAGAACAGCTTTACAAGCCTTCCCATGCCTGAAACCAGATTCACTGGACATTCCCTCCCCAGTAGGCATCACAAGCATCCTTTGGACAGACATGCTTATTGTGAAAAATAAAATCAGAAGCATTTGGAGATGTTAAGCAATACAGCACAGCTTCTGGGAAAAGGACAGCTGGCACAGACAGCCAGAAAGATACAAATGGCACATATTAAAGAGAAACCTCCTGGAAAAGGCTGATTAAAAACCATCTCCTCACATTCTACCCACTTGCTATCAACTGAAGAGTCTTCTCATGTATCTAGTAAAGAGTAGCTGATAGCTGAAAAAATATTTTGAATTTCCTTAGGTAGTACACCAAATATTTACATTAGTGTGATGAGGTTTTTACCACCAAAGTCTCACCTTAGCATTGGCAGTATCAAATATGGTTTCCACCAGTAAGATGTCAACTCCTCCATCCAAAAGTCCTTTGGCTTGTTCTGTATAGGCTTCAACCAGTTCATCAAAAGCTGTAAAACAGGAATGACGTTAATTTCATCTGAAGAAACATCTTTCAAGACTTCTGCCTGAGTCAAATAACTTGATGGTTATAAACACTTACTTATGTTCCTGTAATCTGGTCTCTCCACAGATGGAGACACAGAGAGTGTCCTGTTTGTTGGACCCATGGCTCCAGCAACATATCTCCTAATTCCTAGACCAAGACATAGTCAGTGTAAAATACCTCCAACACCACCAAGACATACATGTCATTCAAGGATGAAGAAATATAAAACATGAAACTCTTGTCTCAAATCTAGAGTTTAATAAGCACAGGATCACCCAGCACAGCCGACTTTTTTATTTTAATCCAACAGGAGGTTCAGTGTATACTCACAGTACAGAAGAACATTTCTGAAAAGGTCACCTGTCTCAATTAATTTTTCTTCTAAGACTCATTCGTCTCTTAACACAAGAAACTTCATTTAATCACTCTAAACACACAGTATAGAACTGTCCTGGCACTTTTCACTACATAACCTTATTTGAATATCCTGGCATGTGTCATAAAACCCCCACTTTTTAAAAGCATATTCCAAATTGCATTTTTTTATTGCATACTATGAATGACATCAGTAAAGTGCTATCTGAACAGAAGCAGCACTGTAAGCCTGAAATACAGTTTGATTGTAGAATACAAGCAGAAATAAGCCTTTGAAAGACAGCAGTGTCACCAGAAGTGTAAAGAAGCTCTAACCCCTCTCACATAATGCCTGGAAGGCACCTGTAGAAATGAAATCAAAATACTAAGATGATTCCACTAGTTGCTGAATAAAGTTAAACCACTAGACAAACACTAGGATTAACTGGTAATCCACATTTACCTACAATCAGCTATCCTAGTTCTGGGGTACAAAGACTTGTGTCGTACAGTCCCTGCTGAATATATTTTCTCTAAAACACATCTGAAAATGTGGATCACCTGCAGTCTAAACCAGGTGGGCACAGGATAGCTGTGCTGAAGAAGGACTAGATCCTTCCAAACACAATGAAATCAGTGTGATATGAACAGGGATATGAAATTGCTGTTACTGTGCCTAACTTAAAAACATGCACAGCATCATTCTACTGTTTAATCGATATGCCTGGAACAATTACAGAAAAATACTGAGCAACCTTCAGTTGAGTCCAGGTTACTCATCCTCAAAGAAACCCAACACCTGAATCCAGCAGCTTGCCCTACACTCTGAAGGTTCCCCAAGTCATAGAAGTATGTATCAACACCATCACCAGGCTTCAAAAGGAACATCACCAGGCTTCAAAAGGAACAGCTCGATAGATCTCAGCAACCAAGTTACATGGCAGGTTCATCCCGTGCATGCCCCAGCCTAGAGCTGCTAATCATAAAATTTCATTCTTTGAGATAGTAAATGAATCCTGCTGATCTCAACAGAAGCTGAAGGACAGGACTTTGACGACAAAATTAGCCTACTCTTAAGTTCACTTTTTATTCAAGTAGTATATTTCCAAGTATTTACTTTCACATATTTCCCAAAACCCTCAAAAAAATATTTAACAAAGAATTGGCACAATAAATTCAAACTAGAAAGGACTTCTACATACACCAGCACAAACAACACATAAGCAATATCCAGGAAAAAAGCGGTTCCATTGTGGCATTTGGTAAGTTGGAAGAACTGAAGCAAAACATCCCTGTTCACAGAACTGAGAGATCCCAGGAATGCTCAGAAAAACCTGGGACTAAGTATTATTGCCTGTACCTCTGTCAACAAGAAGCACACTATGTCTGTGACACAGCAAGTGCAACTGTCCACAGCAGCAGAAATGATCCCATCACATAGCTCGAGAGGCAGCATGCAGCCGATAAGCACAATACCAATCAACCTAATCTTGGTTGCTAGGACATGATTAATATTTTAATGTGTAAATATTTTAGCATTCTTACCAAATGCTCAAGGCCGTAGTCAGCCTGTGCAACTCGGGTGCTGCTGAAAGTGTTGGTTTCAATGATGTCAGCGCCTGACAGCAAATATTCCTGCAAGACATGAAACAAAAAAAGCCTGAGGGATGGAATTCAAGTAACCCCACTACTTTGCCTCATCCAGTTGACCAAAAGTCACTAATCATTTCCCAGTTCGAAGCTGATCAAACTCTAAAGGCTTTATTCAAACGCACAGCGCCAAAGCAATAGCAGTATTCCATGTAACCAATTTTCAGAATTTCAATGTCAGCCTCACTTTCTATTAACAAGTGACAATTATAGAAGTCACCTCTGACACCAGGGCACATTTTAGATTTCTGCACAGGGATATAGTCAGACACAGTCCAATCACCATCAGAGCAAGAAAGGGCTGCTGTGGGCAGTCTCAGAAAAGGCCCAAATTAAACAACAGAAAAGATTAGAAAATTTAAATGTTCTGAAGGGATTTGTACAGCACAAGAGCACAGTGGGACAGAATACAAGCTTAGGAGAATTATGTTTTGTGCAGATCTCATTTAAAGTTTAACTAATGACCGAGATTCACATAACATTTAAGACTTCTGCTCCATTTTGGTTGTCTAATTCCCACAGAAGTAAACTGCAATCAATGCAAACGTAAACTTTTTTGCAGATTCTAGCCTGCATTTGTATAACCTCTATCAGTTTCTCTCCTCCCTAACTCATTTTTTTTGATCCCTTTGAACCCTGGCATGATCATACTCAAGGAAACTAAAACACTTTAAGTGCTAGTTAATCAAAAATACTGATGCTACTGTTGAACATATATCCCTCAGATTTTCCTACAAGAAGCATCTGAACTCATTGAGTTCAACAGTGCAAATAAAATCTTGATCCAAATGACAGCTAAAAATAAATTTGTTTTAAAACACGTTTTGCTGCAAACAAATATGCTTTCTCTCAACTCCTCTTGAAAATATATGAAAATATCTACAAATAGATACATGAAAATATACAAACTCTTATATACAAACTCATACCAATAACATTAACTTTCTGAAAATTATCTAAACATGTTTAATGTATAAAAGCCCTCCCAACTTTACTGTCTACCACCACAGAAGGAAATAACATACTCAAAGCAGGAAGTTAATTTTTGCCTTTGAAAATAAATCACATCTCTTAGCTCTGAATCTGACTTTGCCAGCCAAGGTATGGCTAACATTTGGTTTTTAAGCTACCTGTATCTGTGAGATCTAACTCACTGGGTCATTCATAAAACAAAACAAAAACAAAACACTTCTTTGTACAAATATTTTCATCTATTATTGCAAGTTCCTTCTGTCCAGTTCTCAGAAGAAATAACCCCTGGTAGCTGTAAAATATGAAGTCACCACCCATTGCTCAGAAAGCCTCTGACACAATAGTTGCTGCAGGGATGGGGATCACAAAAGACAGTTCTTTTTTCACTCTTCCTAAAGCACCTATAACTGGCCATTACAGAGATAACAGCAGGTTACTTTGTTTGAGTCAATACATACGTTCTCAAGTCACATCACTATTGCTCTGCTAAACCTGCCAAATTCAACTGTTAAAGCAGCTTACCCTATTAAAACCAAAGCTATTATAAATTCCAAGGTTCATGAGCACTATTGCTCAGTTGAACTCAATCTACAAATACTTCCTTCTAAAATTTTTATAGGTCAAAGACTGATTCCTTCATCACTCTTAAAATACAAACAATAGTAGTTAAAACTTAATTAAAAAATACAGATTACCTTCCAAGTTTAACCAACATAAGCCTAATATATAACCCATCAATGGAATACAGATTTTGTCAATAAATAATTGGAAAAGCCCAGAACAGATATGAGGCTTCAACTGAATAACAAATAGCTGCAACACTATTCAAGCATTCCAATTATAACAGTAAGACCTATGAATACCTGCAGCTCAATAAATATAAGACTTAGGGAGCTGTTTTTTAAAGTCTAACTGAAGACAGGAAAACAATGAAATCTGTTTGCAAATTCCTAATCATCAGCAGATTAGACCGTTAGACTCTGAGACACACATTAATATTCTAGGGAAAAAACAAGACTGTGGAAGCACATATACTCATTAACTACAGAGGCCTGCTTCAGGCTGCCACATTTAACAGCCCTTTAATACACAATTATAGAAACACATCTAGAATTCAGATATGTCCTACTTAGATGCATTTCAAGTGCTAGCTGATAATAAGAAGAGGAAATAAAGATGAAATAAAACAGAACCTACAATTAATAGAAATACATCAGGGACTTAAGTCAAAAAGGGATTTAAAAATAGCACTGCCTGGGTGACATCAGGAACCAAGACAAAAATGCTGTGCCCACACAACCAGAAGAGTCAAATCTGCTCATTCTTTTTCACATGGTTACCTAGCACTCTCTTCCCTAACCCCAAAAGACAGTGGAGAGCCAGGAGTCTATGGTATGGAAAAGGGGAGTGCAGAGACCAAGGTCTCCCTCTTCCTCTTGTCGAGAGACAGAAAGCAGAACCACCTACCTTGTGTATGTCACAGATTATATCAGGCTGAGTTATACTGAGAAGGTCATTATTGCCTTTCAAAGGCCTGGAATGATCTTTAAATTCATGCCCTCGGAAATGCTCTTCTGTCAGCGCATGTTGCTGGATCATGGTCCCCATGCCCCCATCCAAAACCATTATCCGCTCCTGTAGAATAGCCTCAATTTCATCTTCCACACTTTTCTTGGGATCTGGTGGAAAAAGATAAACCAAATATTAAGTAGCTCTGAAATTCCCTGTCTATACACATGGCCAACCTGAGCTCTTTCCACTCAAGAACAAAGTAACCAATCCTCTGCTGAAATCAGACAGTAACTGGTTCACTTCACCTGCAGTTCCTATCACCTGATGTAAGGTAACAGCTACATCTGTCTAAATACAATTAGGCTCAATTGGTCCTTTACCTAAGGACAGTCACCCACAAGCAGTCAACCAAAGTTCACAAGGGCATACATGAAAATCTCTATGTAAACTAGTTTCCAAAACTGAGAAGTGTGATAATTTCCCCACCGATGTTTGAATGGCAATGCAGAGCTGCCTCTTGGTAGCAGACACAACACTCTAAGTGGTACACAAGTGCGAAACAGAAATTAGTAAACTTCATTAAAAACAAACAACAAATACCCACATCTATTCTAATTGCTTATATCATAATGACACAGAGAAATAAACTGAGCAAACAAAACAATTTTTCAACTGAATCCTAAATTCCCTTAGGATTACAGTAGTAAATGACACCTTGACAAACACCAAGATATGCTAACAGATAATAGCCAGGCTTTACTTTCTTTTGCATAAATGTAACAAGATACCCTTTTCCTCCACAATGCCAGAGGAAAATAGATCAGGCAAATCACACGGTTATTTATAAGATAATGAGCAGGGTAAATCCAACCATGACTAAAACAAAATACTGTAGACACTTCAGCACTATCCCAAGACCACACCAACAGTAATTCTTCTTTTCCCCTTTAGAACATACACTGAATCATTTCAGAATGCAAACACACATACAGAATCAGAAGAATGGGCCAGGTTGGAAGGGACCGCAGGGGATCATCTGGTGCAACCTCCCTACTCAGGCAGGGTCAGCCTAGAGCACCTGGCACAGGATTGAGACCAGGGAGTTCTTAAGTATCTCCAGAGAGGAAGAGTCCACAACCTGTCTGGATAACCTGTTCCAGTGCTCAGTCACCCTCACAGTGAAGTTCTTCCTCATATTCAGGTGGAATTCCTGCACATCAGTTTCTGCCCATTGCCTCTTCTCCTGTTGGTTAGCACCTTTGAGAAGTGCCTGGATCCATCCTCTTGGCACCCTCCCTGTAGATACTTATAGGCATTACATACATATAGGTACATATACATCTATATATACATATATAGATGTACACATATATATACATATATGTAGGTATTACAATAGGTAAGAAGATGTACACATATATATACATATATGTAGGTATTACAATAGGTAAGACTGTATATATAGCAAAATAATCGAACAACCTCTTTACCAAAAATCCAAATTACAAGAGTAGGACCCCACTGATGTTTCACGAATATGTGAATGCTCTGCTATTCTACATCTGTTTCCTTCATTCAGCTTCATCCTACTCTTCAAGACTTGTTTTGTTTTTAGGTTATGAACTATCAAAGCCCTTTTAAAAAAATTAATTCTTTCCAAGGCACAAAAATATCCTCATCTCTCATTACAACATAACTTACTACTACACACAATACTACTTAAAAATCACTGGCAACTGTTGATTTATTTCCTTCTGCATCTGTACAATGAATCTTCTCTTTTGACATTAGTACTGTTAAAAAGCAATGTACTGGAGAGAAGCTGAGGCCATGAGGAAAGCATTGCAAAGCTACATTTATACCAACACTCTGGAAAAACAGCTCTAAATCAGAAGTAGTCTCAGCATGAAGAGAAGTCAAAGAAAATGTGCTCTCTAGTAAGTATGAAGCATCTGAGAGCAGATTAAAATACCACAAAGTAAGGCACCCTTGCTTCAAGTTGAAAGTTTTAACACCACACAGGCAGGCTCAGCAGGTTCTTACATAAGAGCTTAAATCTACTCACGTTAAACCATCAAATTATTCATGAGAATAATATCAATCCTTGAGCTAAAGGCTTTTAGAAGCAAGACACGAAAAACTGTATCTAAAAGTAGGTCTGCAGCACAGACTCCCAATGGAGTGTAATCCATGTGCTTCCAAGAGCCACAGCCCAGTGAGACACGCAGGCACTGAAGCTCACTGGTGCTTTAGCGAGCCTCCTACGCCAACTCCTTGGCCCTGAGAGCTGCAGCCCAGACAGCTGAGACGGGCTGTTGGAGCCCTCCCAAAACCAGTCCTGCTTTCTATAGGCTTTAAACTATGTGCTTCCCAACTATCTCCTCATCCACACTGGGAAGCAAAGATTTACCCATTGGTTGTAATCCTGTACCTCGCCTGGTCCATTCTGGTTTCTCTACTGCTCGCTTCACTGAACAGAAACAATGAGCAGTCTTCGGTTTTCTGCTCGTAGGAGCACAGATCCCTGTCTCACTGCAAGAGCCTTACTGAATTTTTCAAAATCTGTGCTTCTTCAGCAGCATCTCAAAAAGCTGCAGGAAACAGGGTAGGAATCATGAGGGTGGCCATCAGTGCCACAGGTATGCAGACTCTGTTTTACACAGGGATGCAACAGCTCCAGGCCCACCAAAACCCAATTTACCTGTCCTTGCTATGAATAACATCTGACTCTTCTTCTATCAGGGGCATGCACTACTTGAAGTCATGTCCTGCCATATTGATGGTGCAATTTAAAGTTGAAAACAAAGTCTGCAAACAGGTCCAAAAACACTACAGAAATCAAAGACTGATTCAAAAAGCCATGCTAGGAAGTGCTGAACTCTGTCCTTGGAACAAAAGCAGGGAGGAGGCTCAGAGTTAGTTCTACTGAAAAGTACCATCATCTTAATTCAGCATTCAGCCCATGCAATTCCCCTCTCCAGCACAAAATGGGTACAGAATATTACAGAACAAAACAAAAAAATGTTTGGACAAACTCCTAAGCAAGGAAAAATCAGGTCAGCCTTTCCTTTTTTGTTGTTTTACAAACCCTGCTCCTACCTCTGCTCAGCCAGGAGCTGATGAAAATTTGGTTTAATAAAGGTCACTGGTGAGCTTTGGGAAATGGATATCCTTCTCCATTCAGAAGTGTCCAGGAGAACAAACTGCTTCTATAGCTATAACAGAAATAGTAGCAAACCAGCAGTGGTAACAGGACCTAGGACCAATTACCTTGATTTTACACTCTACTGAAACTTAAAACATAGAGCCCATTACCACAGAGTGTTGTAGGGCTGGAATTAGTTTAGAAGACTATATCAAATGAAAAAAAATAATGGCACTGGCCTAAAAGGCAATGGGATACAGAATGCAAAATAAAAAAATCCTAATACCCTGCTTTACTTCCCCAAGGTAAAAACTCTGTCTTGAAATCACATGAACAAGGGAATTACTTGTCCACAACAGAGAAATTATCTGAGTTACAAGAACTTTTACTATACTTTTACCCTATAAGGATAGGGTAGCTGTTCACCCCTACAGTCATTCGCTGACAATTAGAAACTTCTCCCAACTGTAACCTTTCAGTTTTCACAATGGAAGCAACTAAACAGTCAGGGAATAAGTCAAGATGATGTTCCTTTATCTCCTTATCCCAATCCAACCACATACAGGCCATATGAGCAGAATTGAAGGGATGTGTGTTTTCCACAAGAAACAGGAGTCCAAAGGTTGCAATTTGCTCTAAACCAAACTTCTGTGATGCCTGCAATGATTCTCAAAAGGTATTGTTTTTTACTGTTGATGCACTTCCACTACAAATTTATTTTCAGTATAAAATAGTCTAGTATACAACTACTTGGAAGGGAATAAAGGATTACAAGTTGTTCCCAAAGCTTTTATAAAGGAGCAACCCAACTGTGACAATATTGAAGTATTTTTATCACATTAATGTGCCAGAACACAAGCAGAAGAACCACGCAGAGAGGCACTCACAGGACCCGCAGTTTCCTAGACTGACCAGCTCCTCTCTTGACTGGAAACAGGGCCCCTCCATATTTGCACATTCAAATTCAACAAATCAGCATTCCCGCCCCAACAGCTCCAAGCACAAGTCCCCTCATCGTTCAAAAAATTACTGTGCAGCATGCAGAATTTACAGTATTAGTACCTAGAAAGGATGCTCTTGCTATCAGCCTGCCACAGACAGCTCATGATAACTTCAGCAATATTTGCTGCTCAATTAATTAAACTGTCTTCAACTGGATGCCCTCTGGCAATTATAGGAGCTTCATGAACTGTAGCAACAGATGTAACACAGGTCCTCTGCAACAGTGGGCAGCAGCACCCTGTTGCTATGTTATTTATTACTCAGCTTGTCCAAAGAGAGAAGTATTAGACCTTACCACTTCACCTTGGGCTCCTATGTGCACCTTGCTAACATTTCCATGTAGGCACCTGTCTTATGAACCATTCAGTTCTTACACAGGAAACAGACAAGATACTTATGTAGCCCATGCACTTCCAAAGTTAGCTTGAGAGGCAATCAATCACTACAGGTGTCACTAAATTTTCAGGATAGCAGTATCTTGTCAACTAAACACACAAATCCCAGGTTTATAATGCTCCCTGCAGTATAACCACAACTATTCATCTCCTGACATTAAACTGTTCACAACAGATATTCATTTCAGGCAAGATTCACAGGGAAACAGGCCTGCATGGTCTCACTTTGTGGGATGCCCTGCGCCCCAAAGGCTAGGGAGGAAACTTTGTGCTCAGCTTCTTCCTAGCCCACTCCTGAACCCAGGTCCTCTACCCCACTGCCAGAGGGACACACCACCACCTACTGCCTCGTGCCTGCTCCCTGGGGCTCCACAAATATCCCCGCCATGCAATTTTTGCTTCTATCTATGTAGAACATCTCTCCCACTGCCACCACTTCTCAAGCCGCTGCCACAACACCTTCACGCTTCCCATTTCAGCCAAACCCATTCGGTTCTGCAGCAGGGCAGTCGCTAGACCATGGCTTGGCCCCAAATGCACGGCGGAAAGGGCAGGGCAGGTCACGTCAACATCCTCTTTGCCAGAGGAACCTGGAGAAATCTCAGGCAGAGAAGCTGGCTATGGAGTCGGTGCCGAGCAGGACTGCTGGCCTGTTCTGACATGCCGAGGGATGCAAGCCCGAGCTGAGGCACAGGTTCAGCATCAGGCACTCCCTCACGGGTATTGAAAGGGGAAATGCTTGGGATCTCTGATGGAGGCAGCACCACTGAAAGCATCCGCTAACAGACCAGTCCATTTTAAAACACCAACGCCAATTAGGAGCTGTAATTTTACTTATCGTCCCCATCCAACGACTTCTGTTTAACCCGTGAAATGGCACTTTTGAATTATAGCCCCAAGCAGCTAGAGCACACCCAGCCCCTCTCACCGAGCCCCAGTTTTCACTTTCCCGC